CAGATTCGAGTGTCTAATGACTAATTCTAAATCAGCACAAAATGAGCGCTAAATGCATTAAAAGGTTACAATTTAAATATATTTGGCTAGCATTGAGAGCTACTTACAAGCTCAAATAGGCAGTACAAGCGGGTACTTAGTGCAAGCTGGATAGGCCAGTACTATAATATCTTTAGAATTGATGCGAGCTAAGTTTCATAGCTGCTCCGAAACGGCCGATGATACCGAGCACGACGCTAAGCTAAAACTATTGTGTAGCGCTTGTAGACCTGCCATTTGAAGTGAAGGTGGAAGATGAAGGTACGGTGATAGCCAACAATAACAAATTGTCACCATCACTAGAGTAACCGTATTTATGCATAATAAGCATGATGCTAGGGGATCAGACTTCTGTAGAAATAAACGGCTTACATTAAGCCATGCAATTAGTAAGCCTTACTGGGAACTCAGCATTTTGTAGCGACTGGTCTGAATTAAACCCAGCTTTATGAAATTAAAGAAGTTGATTTAGGCACATAGGGGCTCAAAGGTTTTGGAATAATTATCCCGCCGAAGCGAAGCGGAGGCGGGAAGGCAAACAACTAGAATCGAACCTAAACCGCCGCCGCGTAGCGGCGGCGCTCGGCTAGTAATAGAGCTAAAACAGTTTGGGTGTTAACGTATTTTATAGTGTACTACTGTATTAGAGTACTTTCGGAGTCTGTTTTTCGTGCACGTTTCAGCTTCAGCTCGCGTTATTGGCTATATGTCAACTCGTGTGTAGGTTTGAGCTAGTGACCATAATTCCTCAAGCCTACCCCCAGTTGATGTGAGTTGAGATAGAAGACTCTGGTAGCTTTACAGAACGCTCAAGATGTTTGTTGGCCCACAGTTAACTGCGAATCAAGCAGTGGGGGTGCTTGCAGAAGCATGGCAGCTTTCCCGTGACAACACGAAGTACTTTTTAAGGATTATGAAGACGCTCAAGATTCTACACTGCTTTCGGCTACGTGAGGTGTTCGCTGTTGTTGATTCTTCGCGTTGCTTTGACGAAATGGTGGACAGCGCAGCAGCACGCGTTATATTTTGCTTTATGGTCGCTCAATTGAACCAACTAGCCTCTGTGCTGGGGCTGCCTCGCGATGGAGTATGAACCGACACTGGAGATTATGTTCCGCGAGTCGAAGTGCTAGCCATGGCTTGCCGAAGGCGTCTAAGCTTTTCACAGCTGCTTCTGAATTCGGAAGGTCTACGACAGCCTATAGCCGTGCTGTCGCGGCAATCCTGAAGTTTCTTTACAAAGCGCACAAACATGTACTGTACTTTAATAAAGCGCTGATCATGGCAAGAAATATAAAATATTGCACGGCTACTCATCATTCTGGTGCCGCGCTCCAAATTGGCTGGGGTTTATTGATGACACCAAACAGTACATATTACGACCAAGTTTTCGTAAAAATGGCATTGAAAATCAGCAACGATCAGTCTACAATGGCCATCCGAGAAAATATGGCTTCATCTGGCAGAGTATTCAGGCACCTGACGGAATAACCGCCAGCATGTTTGAACCAGACATGATTCTACTATGCTGAGTATAAGTGGGGTGCTGGAGGTGATGGCGGAGAACCAGGACGGCGTCTTTTGAAACCGAGTGATTTACGGTGATCCAGCATACGGGTGCAGCAGATTTGTTTGTGCTCTATCGTCGGTAGACAATAGTGCCAGTGCAACATATAACAAGGACATGAGCAGCGTACGTGAAAGTATTGAATGGGGGTTTGGGCGTATAAAGACGCAATGAGAATTCCTGAACTGGGATAAGAAACAGCGCGTCCGTCAAAGTGCTGCTGGGCTAAACTTCCATGTTGCTGTACTGCTGTTCAATTGCCACACCTGCTTACAGCCACTAGGGAGCCACATTTCCATGTATTTCGGTTTGATGCTCCACCTCTTGCAGTTTATCTAGGGTTAAATCAGCTTCATGACGGAGCACTACATGGGTTGTTCATTGCTTTTGCTGTTTGAGTACTTTCAATATATATTCTTGCATCCGTTTATCACGATCTTCGTCGGCTTGACGACGACGGTCTTTTAGTAGAAGTTCGTGTGCTCGTCGCTTTTCAGCTTTTTCGGAAGCATGTAACCTCTTTTTGTCCTCTTGTTCCCGTTCAAGCTGAAGGCGCTGCATCTTGTACTGAAACTTAGACTTTTCGTCTTCGCTGGCTTACAAAAGAGCACTAGCTATCCCGTTAGTTATTACATCAAGCCGCTCTCTTTTGGTAATTTTGCTCTTGCGACCGCTATTGGCACCTGGAGACGATCGAGTAGTCCTCTTGCTACAGTACAAGATGACATCGATGCCTCCACAGATTCACTGGCTGAATCTTCACGTTGACTACCGTCGTTAAAGCCCGCTTGAACTTCTGCTTCCTCAGAAGCGATTTCTCCCATCGCGAGACTACGCAAAAGCTCGCCTGAGCATTCGATTCTATGTTGCTTAGCTGTTTGATCCTCCTTGCGTTGTGCTTCTTTATCCTCCCAGTCATTCATCAGTGCAACTATATTCTAATGTAACATTTCACGCTCGGCGTACTCCTCCACTGTCCCTGATTTCCGCATCGATTGACACTGGTCTGTCCTGTACTGAGTAACGAGATTTGTAGAGCGAGTGCACATTGCTGTTCCAGGCTTCTTTTATCCAAACGATTTATCTAAACGATAATGAATAGCAACGTCATCGAAGTCCTTCATGATGCCCTTCGACGTCCCAACTGCAGCGGTCCAGGGACGGAAGGTGTTCACGGCCTTGAGCAGCACAATATCGCCCACAGCAGCGAACTTCTGGCGCAATACCGGTCGTGCAAGTAACGCTTCTTTCTCCTGTACCTGATTCTCTTCACCCATTTCTTCAGCACAATTGTCACCCCCGCGGTAGCCTATGCTGATCGTCACATCGACCGGTCGTAGACATCGCGGATAATACGGTGATGTGTGTGGGGTGCGCGAGGTGCGTGAGCTATCTGAAATGACGCTGAAAAATGCGGTTGTTCCGAAAATAGCACTTGAGCTTTGTGTTGAGAAATCAAAATAGAGGCTATGTGGAACTGAATCTCAACTCAAACGTGGTTTCGAAAGTTCTCTATTAACTGCACCAGGAACCATTGTACTATCAATCCCTGCCCACAACTCAACTGAAGAAGAAATAGCAGAGCCCTCAAAATATCCTCAGCAGAAAAAGCATTGATGCAATTTAAACAAAAAAGAATAGCAGTGGACCATAAATTAGCGGAAATAGTGTATTTATCGGCCATATCTATCTAGCCACCATCTGACTCACGTTATTAATGCCGACGTCACCACAACTTTCAATATGTGATAACGTCATCACTGAAACCACACTTCTCGCAGACAATAAATTCCCCGAATGCAAAAAGGTATGGCTTACAAAACGTAAGATAAACCTCAAAATGCAACATTTCAAAGGATTTCTTCGTGCAATTTGCACGATTCAAGCACTTAGAAACAAGCTTGAATATGTTTTCGGCACGCTATTGCTACATGTAGAAGGTCTACTTAGTACAGCTTACGTCATGGTCCCGCCTTCCTTTAGTAAAAGTGGCTCTGCAGAAAATATTGAAAAGTGATGCTGAAATTTTATCTGCGTAGCAAGCGTAGCTTTTGAGCGTTCGCTCTGCATTACAAGCCTGATGTGTCGGTGTTTGGTTACTATGTCCTGGTGTACGAGTTCAAGTAGCAGACGGCACTAAAGTAGCTTGTCTAGCACTGCTCCATAAACACTGTACCGATGATCAAGCCTGAGTGCTGTTTAATACATGAGTGGCGCCTCTGTATGCGCTCGCGCACGTATCAGCCTAGACGCCCAGGCGCTCGAACGACAGGTGTAAGAATGTTGCAGGACGCTAGTCTTACTCAATCTCGTGCTATGGCTGAAGGTTAGCTAAGCTTAGGACCCAAAAGGCTTTCCTGAGCGGCCCATAACTTTCGTCTATGCCATATCAGTATAGCCCTACCGTACAGGATTCCTGCTGAGCTTTCTTTATAGCGATGTATCAGACTGACGTACTTCGAACTGTGAGATAACCAATCGGATTATCCGATTATCTGACTCGGATATTACATAAAGAAACCATAATTATAAAAGAAAACAAAACTTCTTTATGGTTGACATTAAATTTCTTCTTGTTCGGTATATTCGTATCTTTATCTTTCCTAGGTACAAGCACTCAAACAGGGCAACTTCAATGCTTAAGAAAATAAGCTCACTTACTTTCCGTAATTGCTTTTTATAAAAATCAAGAGAGGCTTTCCGTATTTGCTTTGTGTAAAGATATCGCACGGCGGACAAGCTGTTGGATCTGAAAAATTGCATCTTACAAAACGCGGATAAGTAATACACTCCAACCTCTAAACAAACATTCCCAGTTGGGTGGCACTGAACTTGGATTCAGTAAGGATCCTGACGTTGTGTGCTGTCGAGAAGATTCAAATCATTCTTATTACTGATAAGAGGCATTTTGGGCGTGTGACACTATTCTGAAATGCAAGTCATTCGAGCGGTTAGCTAGAATTCTTTACCAGCCAAAGCGTAAATCTGGCGACTTAGCTCACTACAAGCTCCACATTCATCAGCATAGATCATATTCTTAATCGGGGGATTGCGTGCAGCTGACCATCGGTCCCACTCTGAAAACTCTCAGCCAATAGAGAATCCAGGCGCGGGTAAAAAAGAGGGAGTCGCTTGAACCAGTCCCTGCTTCTGCACCTTGGCATACAATTTGGAAGTGTTTTCGGACTCTCCCACCTCTATACCGATAGCCGCTGGATAGACAGTCGCAAAAGAACGCCACAGCACGCGGAATCGAAGGCGGCGAAAGGAGCAGATCCACATACAGAGAGAGAGAGAGAGAGAGACATACACACACACCCTCGCTTGGTCTCCAGCGCAGCAGGGTAGAGGAAGAAAGAAAGCTTACAGAACGCTTTACACACAGCCAGGCATCATGGGAGTCAGGACACTCGGCGTACTCCTGGCGACGCTCTGCGTGGTGTTGTCGACACTCGTCTCGGCCAACGATATGGCGACGAACAGCAGCGCCAGCGCCAGTGTCGCCTCCAGCGGGAGCGGCAGCGAGACTATAGCGCAGCTGTTGGCGGAAGTGCAGGCTGCTGTGGCAGATGACCCTGCACTCGCCAACATGTTTGACATCTCGAGCGCGAGCCAGATGAGCGAGGAGGAGCTCACGACGCTGCTGCAGGACATTCTCGCCCTCAGTTTGAGCGGCAGCTCCAGCGCTAACAGCTTGAGCTCCAGTTCTGGATCGACGACCGCCGCGTCGGCAGAGGCGACACAGAGCGACTCAGCGGCGGGTTCTACGGTATCTGGAGCCACATCGGTTACGCTTCCGACGTCGTTCGCGGTCTTGGCAACAGTTGTTACTCTCGTTGCCACACTGTAGGCTAGCATCGGTACAGGGGAATTGCGAGGTTGGGGAGAAGGCGTGTTGCGAAAGGCACTACAGCCGCCGACGTAACCGACTGGTATTTTATTCATCGACTTAAACACACAAGACACAGCTCATCGTAAGTTCGTTCGTGCCTCTAATCAGATTTTAAAGTTGTATTTCTTCTTTCGATCTAGCCTGATAAAGAGTGCTGATCAACACAAATTTATCCCTTTGGTACAGTATTATTCGAGGTCGTTGCTGCATTCAAAGCAGGCAGTGAAAGTCTTTCACTGAAAGATGAATCATCTTATTCCACTGCATAATTTGAATGCAACAACAACCTCGGATTAGATAATCACGGTATCCCTTCAGTGGCTATAGCCAAGTAAAAGTAGCAAAACTTAGAAATGAACGTGCACATATTGGGTCTCATGACTCTTGACCGTTGTTGAGCGAACTAGCCGAGCGCCGCCGCTACGCGGCGGTAATTTCGGTTTTACTCCAGATTTTTGCCTTCCCGCCTTCGCTTCGCTTCGGCGGGATAATTAGTCCAAATCCTCTGAGTCTCATATGTACGTAAATCGACTTCTTTAATTTCATAAATCTGCGTTTCATTTGCTACAAAATGCTGAGTTTTCAGTAAGCCGTGTAAATATTTCTACCGGTACAAAAGACTGAGCCCCTAGCATCATACTTACCATGCTCATAAACGATTACGCTAGTGATCTTGGCAAAGTCTCTTTATTGTTGTTGGCTATCACTGTACCTTAATCTTCCACCCAGAAGCACCTGCACTTTAGTCTAAAACCGCTAAATAAAATATTTAGTTTAGCGTCGTGCTCGATTTCACGGGCCGTTTCTGAAACCTAGATTGCATCAATGCAAAGAATATCTGTCAAGCTTGCATCAAATACCCGCTTGTACTGCCTGGTTAAGCTTGTAATAAACTGCCTATTAACCACTTCGCAAACCAAACTCGCTACTTTGAAAGAAAATTAAAAGTGTTACAGTTTGAATATTTAATAAAAATATTCAAGCTGTAGCATTTTTTTATGCCTTGAAGTGTGTTCATTTTGTGCTGATTTAGAATTAGTCATTAGACACTCCAATCTGTGCCTGTTATGGTTATAGCCTTTGAATATAACCATGCGTCGCAAGACGCCTTGCTGTTGTTGTTGTTGACGGCGGTATTTTTATTTGATACTTAATTGATGATTCCAAAATATTAGGCTCTAAGTTGATTAACGTTTCTTTACGGGCCTAATTATAATAACCAAAATTGACACCTCTCATGTTGTGCTGTTATCTTACCACTGCATATAAAACCTTATTCTACGCCCTTGTCGGCAACGCGTCTACCTATTAAGAAGTATCAGAATTTTGTTGTCTAAAAAAACGCTAAGGAAACAATGGTCAAGTTCAATTCGCTTACAGTACGTGTAGTAATTGTCATCAGCACATATAACTTCTTTTTGTTCACACGTCAATCTAACACTATATATCTTTGTGGATCAAGTGACAACGTTTATAAGCACAGTTTTGTTCTTACGGCCAGTCTACACGACCGGCTACTGCTGTACATGTAACATGTACGATTTAGCAATACCAGAAACCCACTCAGATAACTTATTAATGCTAATATTTTTGCAGTAAAAAAAATGAAATTTCATTTTAGTCAGTGTAACACACAGATCCTACTGAGTACAGAGTATTTAGTATACTTAAACCATGTCCTCGGAAACACGCATGCTTACGTGTACGCTAAGCACCCTGCCCTCCGTGTACTGTAGTATTCAAATATCAATAACAACATGCATTATGAAAAAGTATTTAATATTTAAACGATGCCGCCTTCGGACTTTGTGCAAATCCCCATATGTAAACTGGGAAACACATGTATTTATTGATGTCAACTACACATTCTAGTTTTAACCAATTGAAGCCACCTTCGCTGCGCTCGGCAGCCAGTAGGAATATTTAAATTATTTTATCCAATGATTTTTCCGGAAAAGCGTGACAGGCACGACAATTTAGTGTGACGGACAGACAGGTTGCTGCAGTAGATGTTTAAGACTAGCGCTCTGGGCGTCCGCTCCGCGGACGCTAGGGCATGGTCGGTTGGTGTAGTGCGGGCTGACCACCTCCGCTGCGCTGCGGTGTGCTTAGCGTTTCTACGTACGGCAAAGTAACATATAGTACATGTATACTGTGTTCTACTTATATTACGCTCCAAAACAACACCGCACACAGTATCCTGAGTGTTCACGTGTTATGGTAGATATGACCAGGGTTTAACGTGATCTGCAAGATGAACACCATCTTACCCGGGAAGGTTTTGTCTATAATCTCGTTTGAGCGCATTGCTCCTAAAATGACACGAATCGGAGGCGCGCGTGATTGCAAAGCTAATATATGCTGTACGGAAGACGGGTCAGTATCAATGATGCTACGAAATATGCGTAGATCGGTGAGGAATCCCAGTGTAGCTAGCGTAAATACGCCTACTCACACATATTACCCATCTGCACGTCATCGCCGTGAGGCAGTTGACACATATCATCGATTGCGACGGTCGAATAGAGCAATGTTAATCAGCCCCGCGCGCGAAGTATCTTTTAGGACAGGTAGTTTTTGCCGATGGTCGCCACAAACACCAATAGTATGCTTTGAAATTATTCTGCTGAGCTGTTTGTGATGTTACTGAAGGGTATTTCCACTATCTTCCGCATGCATTTATCTTACTTGCATAGGTGACGTACTTTCTGACTGATTTGAATAGCTACTGACTGACAGAGTGGCGTAAATCCTTTCCGACTGACATTATAGTGGGTCCGATATGTACGCCAAAAGGCCTCGTCCAGATCGGACGAAGAGGCACCACTGCGTGCACATTCTTTTGACCGGCTGCAACATACGAAGATATATGGCTGTAGGCAGAGTATCAAATCGTAGTGATGGTTAGACTTGAATTGAATAATAGTTCATGTACATTAGATGGAGTACTTTCGCTGCCTACTTATCAGCTCGGCGTGCTATTTGATGTGTCCGTGCATATATCGCGAGGTCGTTAATGAGTGTATTTGCCAACGCGCTCGTGATACCCAACCTATGCGTGGGGTCACTGTTTCTTTATCGGGACTTTTGCGTCGTCGTGCTAGCTTTCTGTGCTTACGCTATTGATGTATCGGTCTGTATAATCCAGCGCGTCACTAAGTGGGCACAGGCCATTCCGCAGCGATACAGGTATGCTGAACGCGCGTCTGTTAGCAGTAGCCAACGCGATATATACGCGCGAGGCGGGTACACCTTATAGTCATCCGCGACTCAACCGAGCTCTCATCTCGGCCATTATGAACAGAACACTAAAGTACAATATTGCGTTCAGACACATCGACTTGCCACGTTCATCTGTACGGTCTGCACTGTCACGCAGTGGTAGTATCTATGTCAACAGCAGCTTATTCGTCGCACGTAGCTCCCACTCAATACTGTAGTTTAAATTTGTGAGCGCCAATTAGTGAAATATCCGCTATAAGAGCTGATGGTACAGATGCCATGGTTTTGCGTGTGCCCACGTGAGCGAGTGTACGTGCCATCTACGGTGACGCGTATACGGATAGGAATCACCAATTTGCAGCGGTGCACAGTTGATTTCATGTCTAATTATCTACGCTCTGTAGGTGCGTCAACACCATAGTCAGCTTACCGTATGTGCGGCCCCAAACCCCGCCGTCAGTCAGTATACTAAATACAAAAATAGGTAGGAAAATGGGGGCCTAAAAGGGTATATTTACCAGCTAATTGCTCTTCTGCTGCTTCTTTTGCTCGATGTACTTAACGTTTCGGGTGGTCGGCTTGCGATGGCGGCTGCGTCTCTTTCTATTCTTGGGGTACCAGTCTCTCCTTCTTGACGTTTGCCAGGCTTTCCTGGCGGCGCATTTCGGCCGAATCAGGTGGTGGGGGCTTTTCCTCCCAGGACTTAACCGCTTTTGGGCTGTTCTCGCAGGCAATACAGCGCCGCACGATGTCCCGCCCGCTGATTGTACGGAATGCGTAGCCGTACTGCAGCTTCCCGCAGCAGACGCAGCGCGCTCGGGGGTCCGTCGTAGACCGCTGCAGGTTCAGCAGAAGCGGGTCAATCTTCGCCTCGCATTGCTTGCACGTAGGGCCCACCATTTTGCAAACTGTGAGTAAGTAAGCAACATATATTATTTTAACCAATTACTTGCGTCCAAATATTAGCCAATAGCACGGTAATGTAAGGCTGGTATTTATTATAAAGCTAAATAGTAAAATGTTTTATATTATTAATATTTGGCTTATCTTTAATATATTATTATCAGATTTCCAAACAAATACATACTTTACATGCAATAAAAGTGACTAAAAGACTATGTATCGTGCGCGCATGCATTCGTCGGGTGGGGTGCACGGGAGCAGATAGCGCAATGACCGTGCAGCCGCGCGCCTTCATTGCACGGTGGCAGTGGTGAGTGCCAGGTGAAGTAAAAAACAAATATTCGCAAAGTCCTTACAAAAAGCGCTGGTCGTGAGGCCTACTTTAGTATTAAAAAATACTATCGTCTCTACTTTAGAAAGTCTGTGGAAAATAGCATCGCCGAGCTCTTACAAATGCGGCCTGTGAAGCTTATATTAGTAATATTAATACTATTGATATCGTCTTTACTTCGAAAAGTGTGTGGAAAATAGCATCCCAGAGCTCTTACAAAATACTGGTCTGTGAAGTCTACATAAATAATATTACATATCTCTATTTAAGAAGTGTGCAGAGCTCTTAAAAAATTAAGTGGTTACTGTGCCCGATTTGCAGTACATACGACAGGTTGAATGCAATAATCAAGTATCTGCTGGCTGTTTGCATCCAATCAATGTGTTTCGTTCGGGGCAGAAATGTTTACCTTACGTCCAATCGCGAGGGAGAGAGGCGGTCTGATCGTGCGACAGATCCAGTCAGTGTCCCGGGTCGGTCGGTATTGACCAATCAGGGCGCG